TCCCTACCAATTTCCCTCCTCCCCTCTAATACCAGGCTGATGAGTTCTGAAAATACCCTTCTGCAAGCCAGGGAAGAGGAAGGAGTCAAGTACGAACGAACCTTCGTGGCATCGGAATTCATCGACTGGCTGATCCAGGAAGGAGAGGCCACGACACGGAGCGAAGCGGAGCAGCTCGGCCGCAGGCTTTTGGAGCACGGCATTATACAGCATGGTGAGAAATTTGCTGCCAAGTAGTAAAAGCTACACTTATTGTAGCGCTTTCTTCAAGTCAGATCATGTGGAGGGGCCCTTGTCTTCTTGATCATAGTATTATATCTGAGTTCTAAATAACTTCAGACAGGAGTCTAGGTAACTTTAATTAAAGGGTGGCTTTTTCAAAAGCTCATTGTATAAGTTCTGAAAATTCTGCCTCAAATGCAGAATGCTGCTAGAATTTGGGATTTTATAATAATAGCATAAGGATGTTGGTGAAAATCAATGCTCCCGCACTTGTGGTAATTAACTTGTAGAACTTGCTATCAGCAATATGTATAATTGAGGTAAATAGCTTTGTAAAGATCAAATAGGGATTAGAGCCATAACTAAGCTAAATTCTCTATGCAGAATAAAAATTTCAGGTTCTGTATATCTCCCTACTTCAAGACAGGACCAGAGCACAATCTGATGCCAGAAAAGCAATCTTCCCTCTTGGTTAGGTGGCAGAGTTGTTCTAGTGTGTTTGGGCAAGAAAGAAGGTATCACTTCTGCTTGAGGTGCTACTGTATATGTCCTGGTGGTATAACTTGTTTGAGGCAGGAATCAAATATTTCTTTATGGTCCTGCACAATGTGTCTGGCAGATGCAGCTTCACCAAGGAGCTCCCTCTGTTAAGGGTTGGAGGAGGCAGAGTTTTCTCTCTGTACTGCCCTGAGTGTGAAGAAATAGCACTAAACCCCATTTTACATGTTGTCATCATCTGCTCTCAGTGCAATTTGCCCTCCTGTGATCAGGCATTTCCCACCATAAACGTGTTGCAGTGTCTCTGAGAGTGATGAAGGGGTGCCAGGAGATGACAGAACAAGCTGGCAGAGGCTGTTAGCTATGTTTTTTAGTGCACAACAGGAAAGTAATCACGTCCTGGAGGTCCAAGTGTTGTTGCCTCAAACCTGATTCTGACAGAGAACAAATAATTGACAATATTAACAGCTTATTAGTATGCAAGGTGCTATATTGACTAGGTTGCTTGGTGCTTTGTAAGAAAACCTCGTTTTAATGAATATTGAAAAATGGGCATATAAGTGACCTGTACAGCTCCTTCATGGTTGTAATCATGTTCACATTATCTTTAGCTTGCAATTACTAGGAGCTACTTTTGAATGTTTACAGTAATCAGCTTCCAGTTCTATAATTACTCCTGTGCTTCCTATGATTTATAGGGTGCCAACTGCTTGGAGCTTGATGGACAGGGAAGGTATGCCACTCCTTCTCTTCATAGCAGCAATGATTTCATTCCTATTTTTACCCAAGCATTTTCTGTGTATTACATATGAGGTAAACTTTCCTTACAAACAAAAAAAACACCAGAGAGAAGTGAGATTTACACTGATATTGATGTTTCTGCAGAGGAAATAAAGTCAGGACTTGACATTTGTTGCAAAGCCGCGTTTACTTTGCTACTGATATCTTTAGAGAGCTAAGAAAGTCAGGATGTGGCTTTTATTGCAGATCAGCCATTGTTTCATTAACTGTAGCAAATGCTCAGCAGTGCACCTTGGTAGGGAAATAATTTTGCCCCATCAGGCTGGGTTTCTGGGAGCATTCCTGAGTGATACCGGGCCTGCTCATTTTTATGGATTGCCTAGGCCAGTTCTGTAGGTGTATCCCCTGTCCATCCTCTTCTAGTAGTCAAGAGCACATGCAAAGCACTGTGTTAGAAAGAGATTTGAAACTCATAAAGTAAAGACAGGGTGCTAGGAATCGCTTGATTGCTGAAGAGTGACCTTCTCACTTGTCAATACCAGAACATCACTCCAAGCCACTGTCATCTTTCTCACTCAGCTTTTGCTGGGACAGAGGTAACTCAGTGGGGATTTCACACTGACTTGATGGGGAAACTGGAAGTAAAGTAAGACTGAATTATGTCCTTGAGATTTGTCTTTATGAGTGGACATGCTTTGTGCACACTCCTAAACAGCAGATTTCTTTCTCCTCTGGATTTCACTGCGACAATTTGTCTAGATGGTGTTAGGAATATTGCTGAAAGTGCTAGCAGAATTAACAGAGAGCTGGTTTGGGGTTCACCTTAACACCTAGATACGATCTGTGCATTTTGAGGGTTCATGTAATGCTGTCTTCTTCTAAGAAGGAAGCTCAAAATGAGAACTCCCACTACAGAACTGGGGATATAAACTGAAAACTGCAGGAGTGATATTCTCTCCCCACACCCACCCCCATCTTACTGAGTTCTAGATCCAATTTAAAAACAAAGATATTTTTATGTCTCTTAGTACAGTAAATTGATTTCACCATACTATGCTTCCTTTGTTTTGTCTCTTGTCAGCAGTACCAAAATGTTACTTGACACTAATTGGCATCCTTGTTGGCAGAACCAGCAGAAAGACTCTTGACTGAACAGGAGTGGAGATTAAAACATTTTCCTGCCCTAAAGGCAATCTTTGCTAGCAGCATTGTTTGATATCCACAGTATGGAGTAAAATAAAGCTTGCTGCATTATTCTTATGAACTATTTATTACCCTATGTATTGCAATGGAAAGTAATCGAAATAGTTGCATCAAGTTCCCAATGTCAGTAGTAATTTTCCAGCCACAACTGAATTCTGTGATTTATTTTTACAGCTACAGACTTTCATTTCAATTACTCAGAGAAGCTCTATTCTGCAGCTGAGGCACAGTATTCAAAACAGCTTCCTGACACATTTATCTTCATTTTAATTGGTCAGACACAAACCATGTTTCACACAGGAAACAAACACTGATGCTTATTTTAAAAAGGAAAATTGTGGTTTAAGAGGAATTGTCTAAATGCTGTAAAAACATCAAATGTTTCAGTTTAAAACTTACATCACTGATCTCTTCAGGCATATGTAACTATACATACTTCCCCTGGCATGCATGAAAATGCTGAAATGTGCTTAGGTGCTGAACTGGTTCCATCCAAAATCCCCCACACAAATTGTAACCCACAAACCACCATTCTCACAATTAGGACCTAGATGTCCTTTCCTATGGACTGGTACCCTCAGGTAATATAGGATAAAACAAAAAGCAGTAGGGAATTACGCACTGTACATTTCTTGAAGGCTTGTGTGGCAGTGTAATTGACAGTAGTTACTCTGCATTTGTGAACACTGATGGTCTTCATCCAGAATATAGGAATGAAGATAGTGGGAAGAATGATAAACATGGTGATGCACATCCAATAAGGCCCAGGACAAAAGGTCCACAGAACACATTCCTCAGCTGTAGAAAAGCCCATTTCTAGTATGGTGAGGTATGCAGAGCTTTGTAATATTAACAGATAAAACTTTTCTCCAGGAGACTGGATCTTTCCTAGTTCCTCTTCATATGGAAATGTTGAGAGAGATTAGCTTCTGGGTCAAAATTCATGTGCAGCAAGAGGAGAAGGAAGTTCTTTGCCAGCTCCAGGGTACATCAGACCAGAGAGGATGGGCTGGGGGCCGGCAGAGGATAGCATGAGCATTTACACACAGTCATAGCTGTTTCTCTAGCTAGAAATCAGAGATACTGAAATGTCCCAGGAGGAAAGAGGGTCTCCACAGACCTCTTTGTGGACATATTTTGGCCACACTTGCTTATGGAACTTGCTGTAGAACTTAGCCTGCACCTGTAGTGCAAGCAGCAGAGCACCACTGGCTGAGTCCTCTTGTCCTCTGGGGACATATTGGGTATAGAAGCTTGGGGAATGAAGGAACATCCACCTGCCTCTAGTGATAAATACTTTCAATTTTAAATTCTGATGAATACTGTTAAGAGGAACCTGTATCTTCTTAGGATAGCACCTGCGTCTTGCAAGTTGAACATTTGCATTTCCTCTGTGGCAGTGATCAAACCATAGCACGTTCAGAAATACTTTTCAATATATTGTGGAGTGTAAACACACAGCAATTGCCCCATGCCACAGATGGTGCAGCATGTTCCACCAGTTGGGCCTGCAAGAAATGCAAGTCTGAGCAGTAATACTCACCTTCCCGTGCCAGATCACATCCTGTCTCTTTTGCTGTTGCTGTTTCCCAAGCTGCTTCTGCACTTCAAGTCTATGTTCCTGGTGTTATTTCTTCCCTGACATCCCTCCAGACCTTCCCCAGGCAGTGACCACAGCACAGTTTAGGACAGAATGTTTTGCATGGTTGTCCACTTTGCTCCAGAGGATTGGGGTGCAGATTCCCAGTCATACCAGCAGCAGAATAGGTGTGATGGGTTCTTGAAAAGCATTGGTGTCATGAATGAGTGAGGGGTGGAAGAGTCTATTTTCGTAGAATAATAGAATCATAGAACCAACTGGGTTGG